GAGCAGATTGCTTTATTGGACAAGATGTACAGGTAATATGTTTGGGGGTATGGGAAGGATTTTGAGGCTGGGTTTATGGCTAAAGAGTTAAAATGTATGGATTTAGAAGTGTCTCTTGGCTGAACTTTGGATTCATTGTGAATGGCCAGGACCGTGAAACTGACCCAGCCAACCTAACAAGTCCTGTGAGTGACTCAAGGTCAGATTTCAGGATGTAAGGCCAAAGCTGGAAGTCATGGGTAAACATTGTTTGAGGAAATAGAGCATTGTAATCCAGACCTGTAGATTTATGAGAATCAGAGTTGAGGAACGTGAGCACAATCTGACCATGAAGGAGAAAGCTGAGATATGAAAACTAAGATGACAGTCAGAAATTTAGTCTATATATCTGTACAACAGAAGAATACAAAGGTTTGAATATTCTATTTCTGTTCAGAACAGCCTTCTGAGTTTGAGCAGAGTAAAGTTGGTGGGGGGGAACCTTCTTCCTGTGGGGGCAGAGATAATAGCAATGGGTGTTTCCAACAGAAACTAGGAGCTGTGAGTCAAACTCTCACTGTCCTATAGGATGAATTTCTAAACTTTTTTCCTATACTGTCTGGGAGTGTGGTCCAGAATGTGTAGTATTGAGCAGAGTCCTCTGTCCTAGCTGCTTCTACTGCCAAGATACTCACTCTCATACTCCCTAGCATGAAACTCTTTCAAACATTCCTCTTGGTTACTTTTCTATAGAGATTCGCCCCATTCTGAGATACACAGCCATCTTGGGAATGCTCTTCAGGGCGGGCCCAGGGGCCTGCACTGAGTCTCTACTACTTTTTCTCTTCCTTGGCATGGCTGCAGTTTTCAGCTATGCCTATCAGCAGCAATTACATGCTCTCCTTTCCAAGTGAAGGCACCCACAGTAATAGCAAAGTGGAGACAGGCTCCACCCCAATATAATCCTAAACTTCTAGTTTACCTTCCAGCTTGGATCATGGGCAGAGAAGGGCAGCCACCAGTAGTGATTTCAATGTGATCTTCTCACACATCTCTTCATAGAGACATATGAATAACAACAGCAGCATTAGCAGCAAAAACTTTGGTATTTGATAGTGTCTCACCCTATGTGAGAATTCAGGTGAATTTTGTCTATCTTATAATCTCAAATGATAACAATAATAATAGTTAGGAGCAGGTGCTTTTGAAGAACTTTATATTTAATCTCACATTTAATCCTAAAAACACTAAGTGGTACTGTTATTACCTGCATTTTATACATAAGGAAATCAAGGCAAAGGGCCTTATGTATCTTATAAAAAGTCATATTGTTAATTAATGGTAGAACTGGGATTTGAACCTAGTCTGATACAGGAGCCACACGTTTAGCATTTGATCTCTGGTGCCCACTTATTCCCTAGGCATCAGTTTTCAGAACTACCCATATTTTACCAAACATGGCTTCATTTTTCTCAATCCTGAGCATTTGAACACATTCTTAGTGCAAACTAAATATCTGTCAGAAACATGTTTCTAAGAGCAATCACACATTTTCTTAAAATTTTATCAAATTCACTCTACATAGTATCACTATTGACCCTCACTAACTTACAATTTGAGAATCCATTGGATTAATTATATTTATGTATTTTGCCTGCATATCCATGTTCTTCAATGGACAACACTAAGCTCAGGGACCATATCTTAATCATCTTTTTGTTTTCAATGGCAGTCACAAAACTTAGGTCATAATAGAGAGCAAAAATATTTCCTGAATAACAGTGATGTGAAACAAGAATCAATGCAACGAGAAAATTCCTTGAAAGATCATAGACCTTTGACTCCCATGCCTTTTTATATTATTTCTAGGGAAACACCTTTGTAAATGGCCTTGGGGAACCACAGCACGATCACAGAGTTCATCCTCCTCGGACTGTCTGCCAACTCCCACGTCCAGGCTGTGCTCTTTGTTTTGTTCCTGGGGATTTACCTCTTGACCATAATGGGAAACTTGATTATGATGCTGGTGATCAGGGCTGATTCCCACCTCCACACACCCATGTACTTCTTCCTGAGTCACCTTGCTTTTGTTGATCTCTGCTTCTCTTCGGTCACTGTGCCCAAGATGCTGGAGAATCTTCAGTCTCAGAAGAAAACTATCTCAGTAGAGGGCTGCCTGACTCAGGTCTTCTTTGTGTTTTTTGCTGCAGGAACTGAAGCCTGTCTGCTCTCAGTGATGGCCTATGACCGCTATGCCGCCATCTGCCACCCACTGCTCTATGGGCAGATTATGAGTAAATCACTGTATATGCAGCTTGTGTGGGGCTCGTGGGGACTGGGCTTTCTGGACGCACTCATCAATATCTTCCTAACTATGAATATGGTCTTCTGTGAGGCCAAAATCATTTCCCACTACAGCTGTGAGATGCCCTCTCTCCTCTCTCTGTCTTGCTCTGATATCTCCAGAAACCTCATTGCCTTGCTCTGCTCTACTATCTTGCATGGGCTGGGAACTTTCCTTCTGGTATTCTTATCCTACGCCCGTATTATCGCCACCATCCTGAGCATCAGCTCTACCTCAGGCAGAAGCAAGACCTTCTCCACCTGTTCTTCCCACCTCACTGCAGTGACACTTTACTATGGTTCAGGTTTGCTTCGCCATCTCATGCCAAACTCAGGTTCCCCCATGGAGTTGATCTTCTCTGTGCAATATACTGTGATTACTCCTATGCTGAACCCCCTCATTTACAGCCTGAAAAACAAGGAGATGAAGGCGGCTTTGAAAAGAACTTTGGAAAAGTATCTGCAAAACATCAGGTACTAAAATAAAAAGAGTATGGTGGAGAAATGGAATAAATCTGCATATAAAAGGACATTAGGTGAGTTTACGGTAGTAAAGAGTATTCCTGATCACTTACAGTTTCAGATGCTGCAACCTAAATTAGAAATGCGTGAGAGAATGGGATAAAATTATTATAGGAATGATAGTTGACTTTGATTCCTTCCAAAGGCAAAGCAAATTATTAAATAATCACCATAATCTAGAAAGTTTTGTCCTGAACATATTGATTCATTTTCTCATTCTAAAACATTCGCTTTAGGCTTCCCATTTGGTAAAATTATTTTTTAAATTATAAATTTATCATTATTTTTATTGATTTTGGGGAGTATACTAAAAATCATACATTTGATAAGAATGTAGAGTCATGGATCTGCAAGAGAGAAAAGTCATAGATAAGGGTAGATAGAAAGATTGTACTAGCATTTAGATTTAGTTTAATAAGGCAAGAAAAACATTGAAGAGCATAAAAGTGAAAACAATATAAAACTGTTTTTAACTTGTAGATGATACTGTTGAGTGTGTATAAAATCCAAAGAAATTTATAAATTATTGGAACTACTTAGTGAATTTACCAAAGTCAATGAATTCAAAAGCAATATACAAAAAGCATTTGAGGAGGGAATTCTGCAAAAATGGTGGAGTAAGGACCTCCTAAAATTCTTTACTCTCTAAAAACAAAGAGGACAGGCAAAATGGTCAGAATCAAATTTTCAGAACTCTGTAAGTTAACCAATGATTTGCAGCAACTGTTGGAGGATCTAATGAAGAAATTTTTGCAAAAAATTTTCTCTTGTTGAATTGTTCTTAGATGATTTCTTCAGCCTCTGAAAATTTGAGGAGGTGTTGAGAAGGGAGTTCTGCAGAGGTTCATTTGGGGACACTGGATCCCTAGGTGGGAAAAGGGGCATCAAAAAGTGGAAAAGGAGATGAAAAGGAAGAAGGTGACACATCTTCTCTCCTTATGTAGACTCAGGTTCTGTGTCCTGTGCTACTTGACCATCTAAGTTTTAGACCAGAGTCATCCAATAGAACTATAATTAGAGATGTGTTCTATATCAGCACTGTGCAGTATAGTCACCACCATCTGCATGTTCCTATGGAGTGTTTAAAATATATCTAACACAAATGAGAAATTAAATTTTTCATTTTATTTAATTTTAATTATTTTTAATTTAAATGAACACATGTAGCTCGAGGCTACCATTATAGGCAGTGCAGCTCTCAACCAGAGGTTGGCAAACTTCTTCTGTAAAGGGCCAGACAGTAAATATTTTAGATTTTGAGAGACATACAGTCCCTGCCATTTTTATGCAAAAGCAATCACATACAATAAATAAATAAATGAGCTTGGCTGTGTTCCCATGAAGTTTTATCTACAAAAACAGTCAGTGAGCCAGCTTTGGTCCATGGCCAGAGTTTGCCAACCTCTGCTGTAGACCATGTAGATCCACAGATGCTCCAGGACATCAGATGCTTTAGTGCTCAGTTATTTCCCTGGACTGACCCTTTTACTTTAATTTACTTATTTTCAATTTATTTCTTTTACTTTCCCTATCAATTTATTTAAGAATTTTTTAGTTTCATATTTGATTGACCAGGTGTAAAACTTATGTAGCAGTAGTGTTTGGGGATTTTAAGTTCACCACTTTGCTAGGTACAATCTTTGTAATACACATCCATTAGGTCTCTCAAGTTTAAAACTTAGACAAAACTCTGAGTCGTTTCTCTTATTTACCATAAGCATCCAGAAATGGTTAAAACTTAACTCCTTAAGAGTTTTTTCTCCCTTTTGTCACAGTCTTAGTTTAGATCTTCATTATTTCAGAATTGCTATAAATATTCTCCTAATTTATCCCCTTGACCAAGGCTCTACTCCCCTCAAATCTGCCTTCTATGCAAATTATACAATGTTACATACAAAAATGCTTATATGTCCACGTTCTTCAAAGCTTAAAATCTGTATGCCCAGTGCTTCAAGAAGTTAAATTCCAAGTTACTTTATTTAGCATGACATAATGAAACCACACATAATCTACCTCTAAGCCTCATCTCTAATTGATCTCAGTTTAAAGTCACTACATTTGTGATTTTTCCCACATGAGTCATTGCTATTTTTCATCTACTTGAAATGTATTCAAATTGCCCAATTGACCACTCATCTTCAAGCATGCTGGATAAGAGGTATCTTCTGTCTACATTACTATTGCCTTTCGTATACTGCCATTTCAGTACATAACACATTGCTCCATCACTGCCCGTCACTGATATGATCCTCATTAGACTGTCAAACTCTGTAGGCCAGGGACTATTCCATAATCATTGTCATAATTATTTTTGTAGTGCATTTCGGGCATTTAAAACACCCTTTAATAAGCAGATGCCCAGGACAATGTCCTGGAGGCCACAGGATATGGGAAAAAGTTGCTTTTACACATATGAATCAGAAAATACATTTTTATGTTTCTAAATAATAGTTTAATTCTCTAATTTTATATCAATGACAGAGCTATTAATAAATGAATTTAAAAAAGAAGTGTTATTAAAGCAAAATATTGCATTATCTATAATCTAGTTTCAATTCTCTTAATACAGTAGTTTCACATTTTATTATAATATTAAATGATAGTCCCCAATATTTTGTTATGACTCCTGACTAATTTCTCATTGGCATACTTATAAGCCATCAAGACTTTATACCCTTTGTGAATTTATTCAAGTCCATGAATCAAACAGTTTTGTAAAAATCTACTATCTAAGGATGACATCAGAAGTTCAAATTTGTATTATTTGGCTCCAATAAAAATTTCAGTATCTGAGAGTATACCAACTATACTTATATACTTAAATTAAAATTTTTCAGTATCTTAATTATAATAAGGATAATATTTTGTGTGGTAAAGATAATATATACTGAAAAGATATATATCTGTATATATATGTGTGTGTATACATATGTATATATATCTTATACATGTCCTCTCTTTATATGTTTTCAAATATTTACTTAGTATTTCCCCTTTCCTCTAGTGTCTATCAGTGCAATATTCACTAGTAACAAGAAAACTCATCACAAATTCTTGACAATTAGTTTTATACATCCAAGTATATCAAAGATTATACATCTAAATACTCGGAGGCATGCCCACGAGCTTTTGAGCCCTTTGAACCACTCTTCTCTTGCTCAGGCCCACTTCCACATCTGGAAGTATACTATCACTTCTAATAAAGTTATTCTTTTCTGCTGAAAAAAATATATATATTATAAACACATACATACATACATACATACGTTCATACATACATACTTGGAGGCAGCTAAATATCATACCTGGATGTTTAATACATATATACATATATACATACATACATACATACTTAGAGGCAGCTAAATATCATACCTGGATGTTTGCATATAATGAGTATAATGAAATTAGAAAAATGTGTAAGAAAATGTTGTCCTAGCTCTGTTATAAATTACTATATAGCTTAGGGCAGGTCATTTCTTCCCTCTAGATCCAAGATATTTACTTGAATGACTTGAACAGGAAGTTAGACTGGATTATCTTTGAAGTTGATTACATCAATATTCCAAAACATCCCTCACAAGTTCTTATGAGCCAGTTATTCACTGAAAAGTCTCAGATGGACTAGACCAATCTTATCACCAAGTTCAATTATTCGAAAGTTTCCAAAAGCATTAGAGAAGAATAGCCATTTTGCAGAGCACACTTTATAAAAGTATACCATCTCCAAAGTACCATCACCAAGTAATGTAAAATTCACCTCAAGTTAGCATTTTAAAAAAAGAAAAACAGTTATAGAAAAATTTTTGAACTAATCCACTCAGTCAATACCATGAGAAAAATCAGGCATTAAAACAACGGATTTGGACTGGATTTATTCTCGTGAAAAAGAGCATGTTAGAGATGTAGGTAAGTCCCTAGATTATAAATTTTTCAGGAACAAGGAGAATAGTTTCTTATTTTACAGAGAATCTCCAATTTATTTCTCAGTACTTAGAATTTGTCAGGAAGAAAATTAATGTTTCTTTTGTTAACAATTTAAAAAGTAGTCTTCCTTTGGCTCTCTTAAGCAATAGCAGCCACTTAGTCTTTTGTGTGTTATCACATATGGATCTATATATAAATCATATAAAATACATTTTGACATTTCTGCCATCAAAACAGTTATCTTGGAAAAACTCTAAAAATATTTTTATGATGCCATGTAGATGCATTTTTTAGGACAATTCATTCCTAGACACAAAGCTTCCCTTGAAAACAAGTGCTAGCTTAAGGGCTGATCTTCACACTAGCCCTTTTCAATACCATAGTGAAGGCTGAGGGGTCACACACTCTGCCCAAAAGATATCCACGTTAAAAATTTTGTTTTCCCAGTTGCTTCATTCATTTTATCATCAAATTGTTTACATTCAGAAATGCAGCTCATGTGAACTCAGGAAAATAATAAGGAAAAAAAGGAGTAGTGCCCAACACAACTCCTAGGGAATCAATCCATCCATGAGATATCAGGCTACTAAGTATCGACTACTATGTCAAGCTCTGTAAAGGGCTAGCGTGGGACTCATGGGGCCTGGGGTTTCAGGACACATTCATCAACATCCTACTAGCTATAAGACTGGATTGCTGTGAGGATCAGCCCAACCCCCACTACAGCCGTGAGCTGCCCTCTCTCTTCTCTCTGTCCTGCTCTGATGTCTCCACCAATTTTACTGTTCTTCTCTGTTCCAGCCTCCAGCATTGGCTTGGAACCTGTGTCCTAATTGTTAATTCCTACACTCTCATTGTCTCCACCATCCCTAGGACCAGCTCATTCTCAGGTATAAGCAAGACCTTCTCCACGTGCTCCTTCCACCTCCGTGTAGTGCTCCTGTCTTATGATTCGGCTCTCCTCAGCTATTTCACACCAAACTGAGGTTCACTGTTGAAGCTCATCACTTCTCTACAGTACTGTGTGCTCAC